GGGAACAAACAGACCCACAGGGGAACAAACAGACCCACAGGGGGACACACAGACCCACAGGGGAACAAACAGACCCACAGGAGGACACACAGACCCACAGGGGGACAATGGATCCTTTGTCCCATGCCCTCCCCTTGCCGGGGGATTCTGAGATGCACTTCGTTCACTGAAGTCCTTTCACACATGCTGGTGGCAGTGCTGTGCTGTGTGACCTCCCGGCCACCCGACAGTGCTGTTTGACCTCCGAGCTGAACGCTTGCCTTGTGTGTGTCCTTTTCCAGCTTCTAGACAATCCGACGCCTCGGGGCCCGTCACTACCAGTAAGTCTTCGTCCCTGGGAAGTTTCTACCACCTCCCCTCCTACCTGAAACTGCACGACGTCCTGAAAGCCACGCATGCCAATTACAAGGTACGCCCCGCTTCTCATGCGTGCTCTGTGCAGAGCTGGGGCGGTGCACTGGCACAATGCACACACCACGCACACCCAGGCCAAGGCTCTGCGTCTTCCAGCTGTCGTCACAGGCACATGGCCTCGATGTCCCCTCTGTGTCTCAGATCGTCCCCATGTGGACAGATGTTGGGAAGGGCAGTCGTCATAGCTGCAGTGTGCTGTCGGTGGATGTGGGCTCTGGAGGTGTCCCACTCTAAGCCCTAGCTTCCTTGGGGACCTGAGTGGCTCAGAGGTTAAGGTGCTGGGCTGCTCACGACCGGGGTGCTGGTTTACACCCAGCCAGCCCCTCCCATATGCCTTGCTGTTGGGGCCTACTCGCTGCGCTGTGCTGCGCTGCGCTGACACGTTGAGTGGGAATTGGTTCGAGGGCAGTGGCTTTGGGCTGTGCCGAATGTCACCTACCCTGAAGGAAACCAGTTGAGTAGCAGCTCCCTGGTGTGAACCAGGTAGGACACAGAGCTCCTATAAGCCTCACCCCTAGGGCCCAGCCCTGGGCCCACCTTTCCCAAGGCTGGAACACTCTTCTGCAAGGGTCCTTCCAGCCAGGCTTCTCTGCTTGGGGGTGAAAGACAAGCTCTCTGCTCCTCCCGGAAGACTTAGGGTCCCCAGGGGTACTGTTCTAGGTGGGCTCTCAGGTGTCTCAGCCTCCCTGCCGTTTTTGCTCTGTGCCCTCTTGTCCTCGCCTGGGCCCACCTCCCCCTCTGTAAGTGCTGAGAGTGACGGGGCCCAGGTCGTCCCTCCTCTTTCCTTCGGCTCCTTGCAGACTGTCTCTGCCCCGCCCCTGCATCGCCTCTGTGCACTGCTGTTTGCCGCTGCCCTCCAGCCTCCAACCCCTCCACGTCCCTCCCTGTGGCCCTTCTCTCGCCACTGCCTCCTGGCCTGGCTTCCTGGCTCTGTCCCCTCCCTGCCCTTGGATCCTTGTCCTTCCCAGCTGGGCGCGTGTTCAGCCTGACTAGCGTGCAGATCCACTGCGGGGAAGCACCGGCTCCCTCCCCTCCTGTTGCCTGGACAGCTGCTTTCTCCTCCATCCTGGGAGGCTGGTCCAGCTCACAGCAACCTTGTGTGTGTACAACAGAGCGCAACACAGCCAGGAGCCGTGCCTGCCGCTGTCCTCAGAACTGTCCTGTCTGAGTGCGCACTGCAGCCACCACGGCCGTCCATCCGTCTCCTTAGGAGACTGGTCTGCTCTTCTGGCGGCCTGTGGTATTGGCGGTAATTGTTGCCAGCACCGCAGTCCAACAGCATCCACTCTCTGAGCCTCGTTCACGGCCCAGCTTTCTCACACATCAGCTGCTGGCACAGCCCCTGGCAGGCTGCGCTGCTCTCTCTAATGGGGCACTTTTGCAGCATTGTGCCAGGATTCCTCCTGGCCCTTGTCCTTCTGTAGGGTCATGGGGTCCGGCCCGTCTGCATGGAATGGCCCTTGCATCTCAGTGACCCGAGTCCTCCAGAGTCATGTAATGTTGCTTGAGACTGACGTGCAGGACCCTGGTGGTGCAGAGGGCTGGGTGTGGGACTGCTGACGGCCGGTCTGGAACCGCACACCCACCGGCCCTGCGGGAGGGAAGCTGGCAGTTTGCTCCCAGAAAGGTGCACAGTTCTGAAAGCTGAAGGAGCATTGCCGTGTCAGGGTCTGCTCCGCACAGTGGCTTTTCCTTTCGTTTCGTTTTGATGGTAACAGTGATGTAGAGCTTGTTGCAGCTGTTCTGAACAGCAGTGTGCGTTGGATACCCTCAGAGCCACAGCAGGGACCGACGGGTTGGGGGGGAGACATGGGTGGGACAGAACTTTTTTCGTATTTTTTGGTGGACTGCGGCTCAGATGATGGTTCTGGTGGGCATTTTCAGGGCTTTCCCCACCTGACAGAATGTTGGGGATTACTTCTCTCAAAGTAATGAAGATGCTTTTGAAAGACAGCTGTTTTCCTGTGACTGGCTGCACAAAATTTGCGCGTGGGCACGTGCACACATGATCACACACACACATGATCACACACACACACAGTGGCGCATGGATGGGCGCACGGTGGGTCACTGGGCATGCAGCAGGCCACGACGGTACCGTGTTGCACCTCTGCTAGTATGGCAGTGCCAATGATCGGCTCTTCTCCCCACCCCACCCCCAAGGTCACTTTAGACCTGCAGAACAGTACAGAGAAGTTTGGTGGCTTCCTGCGCTCCGCCTTGGATGTCCTGTCTCAGATCCTAGAGCTGGCCACCCTGCAGGACATTGGCAAGGTATGTGAGCACTTCCTGTGAGGGAGCCCGCCCCTGGGAGGGTGCCGGGAATGAGACTTTGAGAACAAGCCCTCCTCTGCTGCGGGCTGGTGTTGCCTCTTTGCAGTGGCTTCTCCAGACTCTGCCCTGTGCTTCCTGGACGTTCGTATCCAGAAGTCCCATGTGCTCTCTGAAGCTGTGCTCTGTGTGTCTGCTACTCCCTCCACTCTGAGCCATTGCGCTTCCTCCGCCCCTGCAGTGTGTGGAAGAGATCCTGGGCTACCTGAGGTCCTGCTTCACTCGAGAGCCATTGATGGCGACTGTCTGTGTCCAGCAGGTAAGGACAGTCTGCTGGCCTTCACCCCAAGGTGGACTCGGCAGTCTGGCCCTCCCCAGGTGGCCAGTGAGGAAAAAGGCTGCCTCTCTGTCTCTGTGCCATCTCTCTCCTCACCCCGCTTCCCCCCAGAAGAGGAGGCCCATCTCTGGAGGGTGGGGCTTTGGCAGCTCCTGGGCCCTGGCTCTCTAGCCATGGTCTCGGTGAGTGTATTGCCTGTAATGCTAGCCTCACGTTCAACCTCTGGGCTGCTCCTGGTATTGGTCCGCTCTCCTAAGAGCAGTCCCAGAAACGTCTGTGTGGACAACAGCCAGCGCCTCGCAGTCGGCATTTCCATCCCCTCCTCCCCTCCGGGGTCCATTTAGTTATCTGTAGAGGGGTTTGGGGCGTGCGTGTGTGCATGCGTTGGGGTGAGCATCAGGGTGGGCGGGTCCAAGAGCTGCTCGAGTTGGGGGCCTTGCCTGTTGACGGCTCTGCTTCTCCTCCTCCAGTTGCTGAAGACGCTCTTTGGCACAAACCTGGCATCACAGTTCGACGGCTTGTGTTCCAAGCCCAGCGGGTCCCAGGGCCGCGCCCAGCGCCTGGGCTCCTGCAGCATGCGGCCGGGCCTATACCATTACTGCTTCATGGCACCGTATACCCACTTCACCCAGGCCCTGGCTGACGCCAGCCTGAGGAACATGGTGCAAGCTGGGCCGGAACACGACACCTCGGGGTAACCGCCAACCCCTCCATGTGCGTGTGCGTGGACAGACCCCAACCCACACCTCTCCGTGTAACCCCTGAGCCATAGGGAGGAGGGGTCACCCACCTCAAAGGTGCTCACTGGGTACCCCTGTCCATATGGGTGCCCCTAGCCCACTGAGCTGGTGGTGGGACGGTCCCACCTCCAAAGTAGCTGGGGATGAGAC